TTAAGAATTCCGTTAATTAGTATTGATAAAAATCTGCTTGGGATTAATTATTAAGAAAGGGCATTGTGAAGGGGCCAAAAATGATTCTCAGAAGTTGTTGAAGAGACTTAGGATAGCATTAATCCTCAAAGGGATCAGACAAATATTATGATAAGACTTGACGGGGATATGGACTTTTTAAATTTAAATTGATAATTTAGTTTATGAGTGCGACGTTACTTATAATAAATTTTACATGAACTGTAGTAATTTAGAGCATAACGAATTTGTTATTTTTAAAAGGATATGAACAAGGGAGGAAGGGGAGAAATGAAGACTAATAGTGTGGTACATTGAAACTCATGTCAAAACTATCGAAATTGAAAGTACAAAGTGAAAATGACCAAAGCCAAACAAAATGAGCGAAATCAAAATAGTTACCAAACACAAGATGAATGGCATTGAAACCAAGGTCCCATTCAATGAATCTAAGAATAAAAAACTGAAGAAACCGGGAAGAGTTAGATAAGATTGAAATCAAGATCCCATTCAATGAGTCTAAGGTGAAAACATTGAAGGAAGACGATGCAACAATGAAAGCTTGGATAAGATTAAAGTCAAGATTCCATTCACAACAGTTAATATTAATACTTCGAAGGGAAGACGATGTAAGCTAGAAGAGTAGGATAATATTGAAATTAAGATCTCGATCAAGACACTTAATATTAAAACTTCCAAGAGAAGAGGATGTAACCTAGAAGAATTGGATAAGATTGAAATCAAGACTCCATCCAACGAGTCTAAGGTGAAAACATTGAAGGAAGACGATGTAACAATGAAAGCTTGGATAAGATTAAAGTCAAGATCCCATTAAAACTTCGAAGGGATGAAGATGTAACCTAGAGTAGTTGAATATGATTCAGATCAAGATTCCATTCAATGAGCTCGAGGTTACAGCATTGAGGGGCGAGACTACAGTCAAGAGAAGGAATCTAACTTTAGTTTTTTATATTTATATTAGACATCAGTGCAAACATCTCCTTTTCTATTACATTTGAAGTTGGTCCATTGCGACCTGTGGTAACTGAAACGAATTCCTGCTTTTGTTCATTTGTATCGAACTGATAGCAAACAGACCATTATTAAACCGTAACAGTTCCGGAAAATATTGCAGAAACACAATCGTGGTGGTCTATGTTAACTGTTAACTTCAAACAATGCTATGCGCCAGATATTCGGATTCAAACCAAAGTGCTAAGTCAAAGCTTTCGATTCATTTAGGCGTGCAACGCAAACATGGACCTCGGAACAATATGTAACGGTTGTGGAATTTCGCGCTGTTTGTTAGTTAGTACACTCCAAAAATATTCAGATTATCAGGAAGTGCGTTTGGAAATGTGGGCGTTGTGACGATCGCGTTTGGTTTGACTTTGGGTTTTCATTACTAGGATGCTATGTGCAAGCATCCAACAGATCGATACTTACAATTAGTTAGTGCTATATTAGAGAATATTGATGCGCCGGCAGATTCTCCAGTGGCGTTTACATGTTCGCCAATTGCTAGATGTATTGGCCCCGTTAGGATAAAAATAATTAATGAACTCTCTAACTGCAGTCGAAACTAATTTGATAACCAACCAATTATTGTGCATTTTTAGTGTTGGATAATACATCAATTCGATCATTCATTAGAATAATTAACTATAGTTGGCACGTTCAAAATTGGCATAGTCCACAATGACTCTGTAGTAGTTTCTTTTCTTCTTTCAGCTTACTCATTAGACTAGAGCGGTTGCTGGTAGCACGCCTACTTTTACTCACGACAGACGTAAGGAATATCGTAAACGAGATGTCAGGTAGACCGAGCGGCATGGCCTAGAGGTCTAGATCATTGCTTAGCATTCGGGAGGACGCCGGTTCGATTCCGGGTCCGTCTACCTTGGTCCAAGTTTTTCTATGGTTTCCTTGGATCACTTAGGCAAATGCTGAGGCAGTAATATTCCACAGATAATCTTTCAATCTCTTCTGTCTTCATTTCGTCCGTCTCATCTTTCTCACCCGAACCACCACTCACCCATTCCCACGATTCCTGAAAGCAGGCTGAAGAGGGCCTTCCGCCCTACCTTCCGGCATAGTCCGGAGGGACTGCCCGCCCACCAGCATTACTGGCTGGTGGGAATGAAACACCCAAAAATGTAAAAAAAAATGTCAGGTAGGAATTGCAGCGGACACTAACAAAAAAAGGAATAACATCGCACTAATTAATGTGTAATAGAAAGAGATACAGACAAGCAGAATTTGAGCATGTTACCAACATTGGACTTTAAAGAAAGTTCAACATTCTCAGGAATTTAGAAAAGCAAAAATGCAAAGATATAATTCCAATCAGCTAGTTATAAAGCCGACCCTGATTTTTTGCGTACCTAAGCAACCTCTAACCGCTGCACCGCTTACTGTTATTCGGTTATCTCTTTTCACAGTGTCTGCACCACTCACTCATGAAGCATTTCCTAACTTAATAAGGGCGTGTTCAAAACGTAGCAAATGACTACATTTCCAAGTGGAAATAAGAAAGAACATACGTCCATTCCCACAGATAATTTATTGCGAACTTTACCAGATTTAATCGTCCCAACTATACGTGCAGCACACTGCGATGTGATAGCTCTATAGATGAAAGTACAGTGTCGGAAAATAGTATTGGTCAATAAGTGCATGATAATTGGGGAAAGTTGAGTGATTAACAGTAGTTGACGAAAATTAAGCCAAAAAAGTAATCAATTTCTTGTAAAAATTTGTAACTGAATTTATAAAGTAAAATTTATTTAAGAAGTCATCTGTATTTTTTATTGAACATTTTGTTTTCAATGATAATCAATAACATTCGGTTGTAAATATGTTTAAGATAAAATGAAAGTACACGGGGTAGCCAACATTTTTGTTACCTTTCATTTTGTAGAAGATATCCCGTTAAAATCTCTTTATATTCAACTTCCTCCCTCTGTTTATTCAGATATTCATAAGATTTCCAGCGATTTCCCATTACTTCCGAAACTCCTTTGATTTTACCGAATTCTCTTTTATCTACGCTTGTTTATGCATATATTTTATATTCCTTGAAACATCAACAAGCGTTTTACAAGTATTACTTACGTTTTTCTTGGATCTTCCCCAAATTTCTCCACGTTGTACGTTTCCACTCTTAATTAAATATTCTTTAAAGGTTTCTTTTACTTTGTCGACCAAAATCTTACTGGATTTGATGAGACTGGGCTGCAAAGTAACGATAAGACTTCAACAATTAATTAACGATGAAATTATATGTTCTAATCCTATGAGAATATTTTAATAACTTGGTAGATAAGAAAACAATGTCAAACAGGGGTTGTTTCCATTAACTTAATCTATTTACATGTGGTCTGTGGATTTAATTTAATTTACTTTTGGTTAGTGGTTTCGTAAGGATGTTTCTTTCTTATTAATAAGTCAGACTTAATAACTAGAAATCAAATTATATGCATCGGCTCGAAATTTGGAAGATATTACTTGAAACCATCGGTTAAATACTCAACCGATTTTAGTATCGAATGAACCTAATTAGAGCAGCTATTAGAAGTGACATGTTATCATCATTGGGTGCTTCATTGTAATATACCAATATATCTACGTCGTACGTTGATGTACTTATTACGCCTGCACACGACCATGTCTGAACTTTCAACCTTAGCCAACGAAAACCACTCGGCCTTCCAATATCAATTAACTACAGGTGAACTGGATAACCAATAAACTGTTGTTAAACGGAAATCAATATCTAGTAGAACATTTTAGCCGATGTAATATATGAAATAAGGAAGCAAAACAAAAGGAAAATGCAGTAATAATTCTACAGAGGTAATGCCCCTGTTTTCCCATTTTTCCTTTTACAAATTCTAATTCTCCTCACAACTTCATTTCAAAATAAAAAAAAACATCAAAAGCACGTTTATTAGCCAACATTTACTCGAGGGTATTTTTCGTATATTACGTTTAGTTCAAACTCAAACTCCCTTCACTTTTCATGATGATACCCCAAGGATGATATTCCCTTCCTAGAAAAATCGAAGATGTATTAGACTGATTATAAAGATTGCTGTATGAAATATGTTGGACAAACTAAGCGCTCAATTCACGTTGGACTGAAAGAGCATTCAGCTAATATCAGATTTAGTAGAAGGGGAAAATACAGGGGAAACACTAGATCACATTCTTAACGAAAATCATACGATCAATATTGACAATCTTAAATTAATTAAGGAAATTGATCGTTTCCAGTGGCAGTTAGAAAAAAGTTAGCGTTTTGATGAAATTGTTAGCATACTTTGATTCTATTTAATACCCAGCGAGACTGCAGTCAACAAAGGGCTAAACGAGAAGGTCGTATGGCCTTTCTACGCTCCTTATTCGCTGCAAAAGCAATTTACAGCAAACTCACTGAAGTTTCCGCTTGAAAACTGCTTCATAGCTCGGTTCATTGAACGAATTTTAAGTAAACTTACCTCAAGCGCTCTCCTAAGTTGCTTTCATTCTCGGGAAGTGCCACAACTATCAAATTAGGAAATTGGAAGATGTTGGAAATACTCAATTGATCTAGGAAATTGCTAAAATTGCACTAGCCATTTCGATACATCTTCACTAGTTGGACCCGTTCAAATTGATACGAATGACCATTTACCTTTAGACTTAACTTAGAGCCTTCTTCCATCATCGCAACCTAACTTCCAATCTTTTCTTTTATTTGTGCTAAGAGTCTTTCCTTTTTGCCAAATATCTACATTGCGGCTCAACAAAAAGTGAATTGTAAATTTGATCAATCAATGACTTACCGAAGTGGTCTTGCAAGGATTCGGTTTTTCTAATATTTGGAACTTTAAAAAAAGGGAGCTATTGTCCAAACTCATTAGTGATCTTTAAATATTTTCAATTACTTAACCATACCGTACAAATTTCATAATTATTAATACAATTTATCTTTATTTCAGATAATGGAGCCCACAGAGGGAATCTTGAAGCTGATTCCATTATATTTCTTAGTCAGAGAAGTTTGAAATCCTATTTTACAAAATTTGGTAAGTTATTTGCGACTAGGTCCATAATCCATTTTCTATTATCCCAAGCTAACTTGTCTATTTCATCAATTTTAATACAATTTATTTTTACTTCAACTAGTGAAAGCTATTAACTATTTTTCATTTCGCCATCTTTGCTTATGAATTTCTTAAATTGTAATACAATTTATCTTTATTTTAGGTAGTGGAGCCCACAGGGAACCTTGAATCCGTACCACAACGTGCTTCTAAGCCATAGAAGTTTGAAATTTTATTTTACAACATTCGGTAAGTTATTTATCCACGACTAAGGATTTATTTAATGTTTTTCTTTTATTACTATTGACTACTTGTTGTATCCAACTTACATACTATAACTTAACGTTCAAATATGATGCATGCACTTTTCAAACGTCAGTCAGGAAATCCCCTTCGACCATGGTGAAGCATCTTGCACCATAAGCTAACCTGGTGCATACTAGTTAAACCCTGATTCATAGTTTTTTTCATAAACCAATCAACGAATCTTCTCTCACCATAACTTAAAGTAAACCCAAGGTAATTTTATTATAATCATTCCATCGCCGGGCGTTTTCTACTAATGACTCTGCCACCCAATTTTGACATTTAAACACCTTCAACTAGTGTCCGACCGAAAGTTCGGTTTCGGTTTCGGTATAGGTCGAGTTTCGGCAAAAAAACGAGTTTCGGTTTAGTTTCGGTTTCGGCGGCAAACCTGCCGAAACTACCACCGAAACCGAAACTGCGCTCGGGATTTCTCGCGCTCTGCTCGACGCGTTAAATTCCATCCAAGCGAAGTAGATTAGTAGACATTTCGCATCTTCAAAAGAAAAATGAGTCTAGTCTACTATACATACTCAAATAAACATCTCACCTATTTTAAGTATTTTTAAAGCGCAATTAAAGTATTTCCTTAAATGAGGGGTTGTTATGTTGATTTTGATTTGATTATCAATAAGTGAAAATGTCAAAGACTGCAGAGCCATGTGATTTAAAGATAAAAAAATAAAACTGACTGATTATAATAACGTTTTCTTTATTTTTCTCTCAAAATATAATCCTTATAAGGAAGTTTCGGTTTCGGCCGAAACTGAGACCGTTGCCGAAATTCGGTTTCGGTTTCGGTTTCGGTCGTAAAAACCAGCTTCGGTCGGACACTACCTTCAACAAATCAATGGATTTATGATTTTTAATTTAAAACATCCTGCTTACCGAAAGTAGGCTATTTGGTTAGTTTAATTCCTTTATTACACATTCTATTTGTCACCTGATTCCAAAATATCTTCAACTGCTTCACCTTCACGAACTTACGTTGCAGACCTGCCTACTCTGTTAGCAATATAGATCTGTAGGTACAACATTATTATATAGTAACCGTTGTAGTTTAGAGGTATATCTTGAGAAATTTTAATCAACAGGAATTAGGTATAATTTTTGTTATTCCGGTGATTCGGAGTCATTGTAAGAGACAGTGCTTAACATTTAACCGCGCTCTAACTGCAGCAATTCGGTTTTAATAAAGGAACCGACGATTCCATTCTCCACAATCGTTCAGAAGATGCTGTTATTTTTAACTTAATAAGAAGTAATAGTGAGCATAGAACCCCGATTCTAATTCCACATTAATGGAAAGTTTAGCTTTTATATTACAATTGGATTTAGGTACAAAAGTCAATTATTATTTGGTATGCGTCTTATTCATACATATAGACGCGGATCGCGATTTCGATCTTTTTGGATCTCATCAGCGCGTCGCAGACAGTTCCGACAGAACACAGACCAACTTTCACCTGCTGTCTTAACAGCGCGTTTTAGAAAATACCACAAATGGCATGGTAAACGCCATCTGTAGCACGATGCTACATTTTAGGATTACGTTTGCTCCAACAAGGTCCACTTAAATATATGGATATCTACTTGCTGAAACGAATCCCGGCGTAGCTAATCTCAACGTAATGGCCACGTTACCATACGCCGGTATTCGTTTCAGCAAATAGGTATCCATATATTTAAATGGACCTTGTTGGAGCATACGTAATCCTAAAATGTAGCATCGTGCTACAGATGGCGTTTACCGCGCCATTTGTGGTATTTTGTAAGCATTTCCTTATTTCACACTTTGTACTACTCATGAAGCATTTCCTAACTAATAAATTTTACCTGGGTGCATCTTTTTTCCGTAGGTGTACGTCTTGTTTCGCTTATAGAGTTTCAAGCCTGCGAAATAGATTTTTCTATTCTATATCTGGCAGAACAGTAGAAATTTCTGTATTATTGCTGTGACCAACTTGTTTTCAAGGACTGTATGCAATTAAATTTTAATAGGATCTGAAATTTCTCATTCCACTTTAGAGTTTCATGTTTTGATACTTGAGGAAATAGAAATATTTCAATTTAGAATTATGTACTCAATTTCTAATTTTTCCTTTTTGTATTTGTAATATATGCAACATTTAAAATGCGGAAAACTCATCAGTGCAATCTCATTCAAGTAGTCTCTTAAAAAATATGGAAAATCTAAATGCGCTCTTCCACACGTTAACTATTAATTCCCGTTGCAATGCCTATTGAATAGGCGAATAACCTTGGTAATAATCCAATTGGATTAATGGCAAATATTGTCCTTAAACTGGACATACACATAGCTACCAAAGTGGTATAGACAGCATAGTTCATTAATTTCTGTGTATTTAAAATTAATGCCGTGTGCTTTATTGCGTGTGCCATCAATTAATAAACAATTCCACTTTATTTGGATAAGTATTGATGTAAATCCGAAAATTAATGTACATACGAGTGTATTTTGTAAAGAAAATCTTTTCGACAACGTGATTCGTGAAACACTATTTCAGCATGACTTAATTTTCATATTTTTACTCTTAGGGATGCTTTAGGGAGGGGTGAAATTAAAGTATCAGAAACAGACCATTATCATCATCATAAGGTCGTCAGTCCTAAGACTGGTTGGACACGTACCTCCACTCTTTCCTATCCTGAGCTAAACTTCGCATTTCCCTAAAACTAGAACAACCCACATCCTTAACTATTTGCGAACAGTAATCTAATCTAGGTCTACCTCTACC